CTTTTTTGATGGTGTAGTAATGTGGTATCCACTCCCGCCTCTATTAGCCAATATGTTCACGGCTAAAATAGAAAAATCAGTTTATGCAGCTTATACCTCAACCAAAAACAAGTAAATAGGTTTCTGTGTTTTAGATTACAACCTCAATCTTGTGGGTGTGCCGGTAGTCGCAAAAAATGGAAACTGATAACATATGACTTACAATAGAATAAGAAGTGGCGGTTAGCTTCCTCAAGCATCTGCATCCCGACGATTAGCCGGATCGATCCAAAATTCTGTTCTCCAGAAAGAAGCCTGCAGCAACCAGCATCATATTTTTTAGAGTTTATTCTGCTGACAAGGTACCTCAACTTAATGAGTTGCCTGGTCGATCCAACGAATGAACTAACTAGCATAGATACGGATGTTTCTACGAAATGCCCTCATGATGAGCACTTGTCCAGAAGGACTGACGTCAATGCGAGTACGACCTATAGTGCATTTATATCGCATATTCAAAGTAAAGTCGAAACAGCCGTACATATGTCTGCTGTTTGGGAGTTATCTGATAGTCAAGACACAATATACTGAACAGTTATGGTTCTCAATTTTATGCCACCATACATACTATGAACACTTTGTGCTTCTAGGGTGGCAATTTGTTTGAAGTATGAAGAAACATTGCATGGTTCCCAACTAACTTCAATACTTTTCTCTTGTTTGATGACAGCAGAACAAGTTACGTTGGCTGTGCGATTTTGCTTGCTATAATCTTCCAAGTTTTTTTTAAGATCCCGCATAAGACCTAGCACAGAAAATTGGGATCTATTCTTCTTATTACAACTTGAGAATTGATAATAGATCATCGTATGTGTCGATCAGAAACATGAAAATATTTGGATGCCCGTAAGGATGATTGGTGCAAGATCGTCAACAGTTAGTCCAAAATATTCCAGTGCTTTATCTTTTTTACGATCACTTTCTCTTTTGACGCTAAAACTCCGGATTCTTTCGTAAAAGCTATGGGAAAACTTTCATTATTTTATAGATTAGTTTCGAAGTCAGCATCCATTACAAAATAGTTTTGGAATTTTGTAAAGCTAGCTCAAGTTGCACTTGCTGTCGCTTTTTTGCACCTTTTTAACCCAAAGTAGAGCCACGGTTATTTCTATGTGTGGGGGTTGTCAGATTTCCTACGCTTCTCCCATCCAGTAGAACACCCAATATTCAGGCAACAATAAGCACCGACGAATCATTGCCAAGCAGTTAAATTAACAAATATGTGAAGTATCATACAACTAGCTCAAACGAAGTTGAGTTGGTTTCTGATATACTTGAAAATTATTTAAAGTGATATAGCACCTTAGTCTTGTAGTCGACTGCAATGAATCCCTCAATGAAACTATAGGCGAAAACTAGCTCAAAGAATGAAGTAATCAGTTTTCAGTGATTCCTCCGGTTTATCTGTCAAACAACTCATTCTTTTACAAGTGATGCAAGATATAGTTTCATTTATACTGGCCAAAAATCAACAGTGCGTGAAGATTCACTTGTCCAACATTACCCTCTACCAGCAAGAAGCTTTTTGAATAAATGCGCAGCTAAACGCCAAAAACATCTAGCAGAATGAAAACACCTAGTAATGAAACACGTTGAACAGAGTACGTATGAGGGGAATATGTAGATGTTTAGAACAGTTTATCCGATGGTGCCAGGTAAACAGCACTGTTCATTCTCTATCTCCAGTCCCACTAATCAACATTAGTAACTCGACATTGATCGAGATGAGGGGTAAATTGCAAAAGCCAAATATTTGAGGACTAAATCGGTAGCGTCATAAGTTAATGAATAATGAATACCAACAAGGGACTTTGAATATGCGTAAATCAACTAACCTGATATGGAGATAAGTAACAGTGTTTTCCTCTCGTGTAAATGTAAGTAAAATAATGAAGTAAGTGAAGTGCTGAACACTAAAGTCATGCTGTCGATGATAGTGATGGTGAAGCCTGTATCTGAACTGTGATAACCATGCAGCCTGTTTCAATTATCAGTCGTTTTAACAGTATACCAACTTGCTGTATCAAATAGACAGGTTGGAACTGGGCGACGTTTGTTATCAGAGTAATTACTACTGGCCACCAAAAACTTTATGGGAATCATCGTTAAACTAAGGCAGAGGAATTTGCTAGGGACAAAAGTTTCTTTTAGAAACGCTTTAAAAAATACACAGCTTGTTAAAACAGAGATTGGGTATCTATTAGGGGATGCAATATTTTTGATAATTCTCGTAGAAAGTAAACTCTTATACGATTCGGAAAGTGAGACGAACTTCTCCATTCAGATAGATTAGTACCAAACAAAGGTTTTGCCCGGAGAAATTGGATCAACGGAATCATTTTCGGATGGATACATTTTTGCATATTTTATCGATATATTTTAAGTGATGGATGGACGTACTGATGTCATATCACGTACTAATATCGTAGACAAAATGGCCTGGTCAGGCTTGCAGTCTCTCTGGAACATGCATTGTGCTCTCAGTGAGGATGGCAAACAGCTATTAATGCGGGTTCCTATGTTATTGGATTGCGCTGTTGGCTGCAGTTTGGGATGGCAGTTTGTAAATTCTCCGATACAGATTTTGTTCAACTTTACCGATCTACATGTCACCGCAAACTTGTATGAACTGATAAATAGTATTGGAGAAAGGATGAGCTAGTAGCTAACGTTCGTTGTCGTTTAACTGAATACCCTTCTTGAACGGCAGAGGTATCAGCTGATTTATTGAACCCTAGTCGTCTTAGTCTTACTGACTGATACTGTGGAGTGCTGTGAATAAGTCAACCTCTTCAAGGAGGAGATCACCTTTTTCGAAGGTAAGATGCACCTCATGCATTGAGCGGATCTGTTATCGGGACTTTGTTATCGATCAAAGTTTCGGTTATAAATCTCTCTTCTTGTTTCATTTGGTCCTCAGTACACAAAAGATGCCCACTTCTGATGAATTTGCAGGAGACTGTTATTTTGAAGGAACCATACATTTGAATTTTGAATTTTCCGGGGCGAAATGGCTCAATGACTGGATTGCAAGTTTACTGACCGCAAGGTCGGTGTTTTGAACCCGACCTCCGCCTCTTGACTTCCCCTATCTAGGTTTGGGCAACCTGGTATTATCCCAGTCGTCGTGCTTCCTTCTGGTGGCCTGGCAGTTAGGTACCGACAGGGTGCTGGAGCTGAACGATTTTGGTTGCTGGTTGCTCATAAATTGAGACGCACTAAATTTATCTGTCTTTAAATAAACTGAAGCATCGAGGGTCTGCCAGCACCAGTATGCTGCATTTGTAAAGTGCGACAGAATCTGGGCGTGTATCAAGTTTCTGCTTAGTTTTACAGAGGAAGAACATGAGAAAACTCTCCAGAGGACAATAAACAGCTACACCGTCCGTCCATATCAACACCAATCACAAAAGAATTTTTTACATTTGACAGTTCATACCTTCCCAGGTTGCAAAAGTCAAAGTACCATGAGCTGTTTGGTCTTGAATGAAAATAGCAAAATAATCTTCGAGGTTCATGTTACCGAAGTATTGCAATAATTCTGATCATCACCCAAAAACTCTTTTCAGTGAAAAATCGAAACCAGTAGCTGGCAACCCGAAAAGAACTGCAAAATCTAAAAAGATTCAAAAGATCTTAGAATGATTAACCTTAAACCAGAACATTCCATTCTTTAGCTAACGACAGAACTTCCCAATCATTATTGTCATACAAATTCCATGGGTAACCCGCTTGACTGTATCGCACCTGTTTCAAACGAGGACCTCATATGGAATTTTTCTATAAATCTAGACAAGTAGGTTTCAAACCTATTCAATGTTTTACTAGGCGAAGTACTAAGACTTGTTGTCGGTTGGTCTGAACTAAGGTATATCACCACGAAGCAATGTTTCGTACTTGGTGGAGGAACGTAATTTCAAAAACGTATCCACACGGCTGAAATACTGGGAACCTACACTAGTGGTTTTAGCCCCTTGCTACGAATAAACTGAACAGACAAAAACCTTCTATTATACCGTGAATGTAATCCGAAAGTACACAGCCGGTTGCTTGTTCTACCACCCAAAGCTATTCTGCCTCACTGAACTGACTATTGTGCTAAGAAAGCAAAAAATCTGTACATCGAAAAGAAGTTTCAGGTAGTTGAGCAAATCCGTGTAAGCTATGAGAAGGACGAAAGTACCGAACAAAGTATGTTTTCACTGGTTGGTCCTCTTGACTGTTACGTCAAAAATTTATATGGTACCGAAAATCCCGCGGTACTCTTTAGTGAAAGAAAAAGAAGAGAAGGGGTTGAGTGAGAGATACGTGGGTCAATGGGTCACCTGATTGGTTTCATTACCCAATATTTAAAGTCCTGCGGTCTTAATTCCGTAGCTTCAAAGAAGCGTGGTGCGCACTTTGTCCCTCTGCAACAAGTTTATTTGCATTCCTCACTATATCTGTAGGAAAAAAGTTCCCAAAAGGGACACTGATATATAACGATTAAGAGAGGAATTTATCAACGCCCACATCATGCCAAACCCTAGCGGAGGCCTGACCACTCAGTAAAATAAAGTTTTTTTATCAGATTGCAGTTTAGGGGGAACTACCTAACCACAGTCAAATACCATAAAATTACGTGCTGAAATCGGTCAGAAGTACTTAGCTGCTATAATCAACGAGACAAGTCCATCTCCAATAAGTTCTGCACATTGCACGTAATCTCCCAAGGTCCCTGCCACAAGCTATCTACTCGCCTTGGACGTATGAACCGAGCCTGATTGACCCCTATACAGTTGGTTCAGTCTCATTGTTTAATTGCTATTTATTCCTATTCATGTTTTACAATTTATATCTAAATAGACAAAAGCAAAATGTCAACAGAACTTCGAGCCTTTGTCCTATTGCCGTATTATTCTGAAAGGGAACTACTGAGAAGAAGAGTCTTCGTTCGCAAATGATTTGGTATTGAAGCTCACGTTGTAATTTTCCAGGACCTCCAGCAGTGCGTCTTTTATGTAATATGGCCTGTAAAGCTTTTCTGCTTGCTCAGTGAGCGCAATGTCATTGTGACTTCTAGCCATTCGAAATCTTCGAATGTTAACCAATCTAATAATTCCGTCTTTGATCTTGAGGTGAATTACTGCGTATGGGTAAACTGATCTGAATTACATATTGAGATCATATATCTTATCCTATCTCAGATTCTGTACCCATAGCTTCGTAATTGGTAGAATACAGAATCTAATTTTTTGTAATGAGAAGTCCAAGTACATATTCCATGAATATGAAAGATATTTGGAGTCAGGCCAAGACAGTGAATATTTTCCCTCCCACGTACTTGGATTCAGCATTTCGGAAACTGCTTATTCCATTTCTATTGTCTGTTACCATGGCTAGTCACAGGTAGTCAAACTGTCCGAATAAGTCAACGGCTGACGAGTTCAAACATAAACTATCAGAAAATTAAGTTTGGAGTTCTGTGGTACGGGAGTTGTCGTCGCGTTGATCAAGTTGCGGACGCCCCTGGCAAGGCGCATTATGCAGCCTATTTGTCAGTTTAAACGTAAGCGAGTTGCAAGGTACCTGTTTTGTGTAATGAAATAGCAAACCGGAAGGATCTGTTTACGTGACATGGCCCCTTCAAACTAAATGCCAATTAGAATCCATGCCCTAGAAACCCTGATCCAGTAGTTCAACAATCTAAGTAATACTGAACAAAATTCGGCTATTATTGGTCCCTGCTCCGTACATGTGCTGCAGCATGCTCTGTCCACCTCATTCCACGGCGGACTTTTACGACGTGTACGTATGTTTGTAGGTTGAACGAGCTGAGGATATTATCAAGACAGGAATAACCTGCTCTTGTTATTCTGATTAAGCACCAACTATATAAAGGAATCGATTTAGTCGCCAGAATTTTGTTAGATTGCCCACCAATATTTCCAGATATTGAATTCTACAGAATAACGACTTCAACCGCAATGATAGATTTTGAATTCCGGAGCGGATTACACGAACCCTGGTTGTATGACATACTCATGGTTTTAGCAGCGCTGCTGCAAACAGTCGACTACATTTCTGTTCAAATCTGGAGTTTGCAGTTCATTTGGGCAATGTTCCCGGTTTTGAGACGAAAGACAGACAGTTGCATCATAATCGACAGAGTAGGTTACATGGCTTTTTACTAAAACGGTCCCGCTGAAATGCTTTGCGATTTTACTATGATTTGAACACGTAAAATGGGGCATATTTATATAAAACTAATTAATGTTTTACTACGCTACCTAATTTCTGTTGAAATATCTTCTGAGTCGAGTAGAAAGACTTCGTAGGTTGTGAATAACAATGATTATCAAAGCCTGACTTTTATAAATATACTCAAAATTCTGCTAAGCATGCAGTATTTTAGAGAATTGGCGCATGTTTTCTATTGTTGGTATTGATTTTCCGCCTGTGCGTTTCATTCTTTCAAGTTCAAACTAAATTCAAGTCCTGAGCCGCGGTATTTGTACTTATCTCCTGGGTTTCAAATGCGGCTACATTTACCTCACAAGCTTTCTGTGTTCCAGACCTAACAAATGTTTCGCACGAAAAGATCCTCAAATCAGCAAAATACACCCATTTTCTGACCAATCTCAGCTGAACCTTTCGTTTGTGATGTTCTATTTTGACTGAATATGCTAAACCAGGTTGCCTCGTTTTGCATTTGGTGCGATAGGTCAGTATCTCAGTGCAGTGCTAAGACACACTGTTTATAGTGTTGATCAAAACTCTTGAAAGAATTTTCAGAAACCTTATGAGTAGTGTGTTACGCAGATACCCAATCAAGTGCTTTGCTGGTCATCCTTTTCAGTAACCTTGTGAGGAGTTTCCTTGTTGTGCTTGTTTTAGTGACATGCACGAATGTGTCAACCAATACGATACGCATATCGTGAGTAAAATACGGTTTATTGCTGGGGCGTTTCATATGAATAGAAAAATGTTATGGTGGACTTGTCAGCAGACCGGGGAGCCAAAGCAAAGACCTCAACAAAAGCGAAATCTAAGTTTGGTTACAGTGAGGTAGTAGAAGAATTGGATGAAAATTGCAAGAGGCAAATCACAGGGTATTAGAAAGCTTTTCCAAAGGTTGATTAAACCCTTCGGTGTGAGTGCAGTTCCTTCACCTAAATATCAGAGAATGCCAGTGTTGCTCATATGCTTCCTGCTACCTCGCGATGCAGAGTTGGCGTAGGGAATGGGTAGTATATACATAGTAGAAAGGGAAATTCCTAAGCTGAGAAATCAAGGGTGCCGTTGTGGGTCTTCTTCGGACATGACGATGTCGCATATCAATTTTGTGACATCTTCCGGCCTTGGAATTTGGATTCCCAGTTCTACTTTGGCAGCAACAATAGCTGCACCAAATGCAGCGGTGGTCTGGAGCAGGCGAAGATGAAGTCTGCCTTTCCGACAGTCTGAAATATGTCTGGGTTGAACACCGGCCCGGAAACCTAACGTGGAATAAAGTATACGTCAAAGATTATAAGTCCATTGACCTCGTTTGTAACTCTTTATCGCATCGATCAAGTGAAAGAGGAGATGACTGTGAAACTACGACCGGTAAAACTTTACATTTGGGCATTTTCTGTACACGTAAGTCTTCTATTTGACTAAACTGTGCAAATATGAGAGGCCGTATGCCAACAGGTTAGACGGAAATCGCTTACCTGTTTCTAGAAGGTCCCAACTTTTAAATACTGATCCACAGCAGATAACATCCATGCCCTCAGGAGCTATAAGACCCTCCTGTTGTGGTAAAAAAGCAGCAAGTAACGGTTTAAAGGAGTACATGAGTCGAAAAAGAACAGAATATGACGTGTTCAAAACAGCAATGTTGCACAAGGATGAAAAATTACGCATTTATATTTGGGTCACAATTACGTATTGGTTGAATTGCTCACCTTATCAGCGTTTCGCACAGCAACAGACACGTGGCGACCCAGATGCAGACCAGCCTCGAAAAAGATTTGTTTACAAACTAAGTCTCCCTCACGAGCAGCTGCGAAAAAAAAGAAAATTATCATGAGGTTCCAGTCGGCCATTAAACATTAATTCCTTCGTTGGCTTGGATAAAAAAAATGCGCACTCATGGGACCACTGCGCCAAACACTTATTCCGAGGCACTTCCAAGGTGTGGCGTCTAAGTGTGCGGGAGGATTTAAACTGACAAAATCACACCCAGTTGTCTCTGTTGGGCTTATGCTTGACGCTTTATTGCTAAGATGAATTAAAACTAACATCTAACGGGTCGAGAGATCGGCTCCTGATTTGGTTTGCCCGATCATCGAAGGTGAAACAGTGGAAAACTGCCAAAATTTGGCACCACTTCAAATTGTGCTATTACCAAGAAGTAGCGGGTTCTTCAACTTTATAAACCCAAAAGCTCAGTTTGTTAAGAGAATGTGGCACTGTCTGGCTCGCTTTAAGTCTGCGTAAGATGTGTTTGATACTTTCCGTCGCGCTGCGCAACCAAAAAATAGGCTGTTAGCTTCGGTGAAAAATAGCAAAAATGGATGAGCGCAACCCCAAAGTGGTTCGAATTGGTGAAGCAAACTTTTGCACCACCGCATACTGGGGAAAGCATGTAGAATAGCAGCGCAAAATAAGAACCCTTCTAACCAGAGCTTCGGTTATCGACGAAAGAATCTTCTGGGATGATAACAGATTCTGCCGCATTTGAATGGTTCTGAATTACCGATGGCCAGATGGCGATAAGCATCAGATTGAATCCTTTCACGTAAAGCATTCGAACACATTTCTCATACTTTAAGCTATGTTCTATTACAACAAATTCATCAACCCATTCACTGTCCTACACAAGCAGACAAGGTGGAGAAACCGCAAGTAGATGTCACTAGACGAAGGTTATGTGTACTTGGTGAAAGTTCCCAGTTATCAGGCTGTTACACGTGGCTAGCCGAAACCCTTATTAAAAAATCCTCAGGTCTTTTCTATAGATTTCTATGATTACCGGACAAAAAATTTACTTTAGTGTTGTAGAAGATGTGCCTGACTGTTCACATCTTTGCGAAAACCAGCGCAATTATATCTGCTGAAAAATTTGGTTGTTTTGAAGTATGGATTCGTTGAATGAGCCCTGATTATGTACGTGCCGCTCCATCAAATCATTTTCGATCGCCTGAGTGTTGCTTACATCCGAAACATATATCCCTTAAAAGAAATGAAGAAACCGGGCAGATCATTTATTTTTTTGTTTCACTTTTCGGTTTCAACACCTGAAAAGAGTGCTTCACCTTTAGAATGGATGAAGCATTTATATTGTTCTTGAGTGCATGTCTGCTTTGTTTCTGTGTCGTCTGGGTAATCGATTCACTTCAAACAAAAAAGAGTACTCTCACCTCCGGTAATTCGTAATAAGACATTACGGTGACTGATTGCATGCAAATTAATTTAAGATTTGGTTTCCCCCGCAATAACTCCATAAGTCAAACATGCTACACTATGTGAACCTCAGGAAAATCCACGGTTAGCTTCCGAGCTCTAAGGGTTGAAAATTTTCCATGCCTATGTAATCGACATACTTGAATCGAGTCAAGAAGCAACTCACCTTCAGCGATTGGTCTACAAAGTTGTGCGATAAATGTCTTGTTGATGTTTTCATGGAAATGCGGCAGCAGCTCGTGGTGATGACTGATGTTGAAGTGTTTGTAAATGGCTTGGGTCAACATTTGTGTGCCAAATTGGTCATGATAAAGCCCCTCAGTGGTCTTGATGTAGGTCATGATGGCTTGGTGTGCAATCCAAAAGGCTGTAAAGTGAAATTTAGACATGATACTCTTGAGCAAGTTCCAACAAAAAACTCAGATAAACTAGGAGGAGATTACTGCAATCCCCATAGTGCTGTCACGAACACTGAGAAATACTTCCATTGACAAAATCCTCACTGATCATGTTCCAGGCTAAAAACTGAACCTGCAATCTATAGTGAACAAAATCCTACCCGAAGTTTTTTCGAATGTGTCAAACACCATGCAACGTGAAAGAATCATATTTTGTGGGACAAAATTGAGCCCAATATATACCAAGATATATGTCAAAAATCATGGACGTCATACTAGCTGAAAAATGAAGTGGTCTTTGTGGGGCCCATTCATTTGGAGAATATTTCAAGCGAGAGGTTTAGTTGAATTTCCCGTGAACATTAGCGTAACTTGCAAATAAGCGTGTTTTGCAGGTGCATAAAATCCGGTGTTTAAGTAGAGCTTAAGAATGACGGAAACCATAGAATTAAGCCTACCTAATGAGCGGCAAGAAGGCAACAGCCATAGTGGGTTGTCGAAGTCTTTTGACTGACGTTGTAAGTGGCTACCTACCCCATCTCCCTGAATCATCGGTGAACAAAGTGTGGCAGCCACAGCTACTGCACGACAAGTACGTGGTTATTATAGCTGACAATGATGACGATGACTGACACGATAGAAAAAACATTCAGACACTGGATGTTGATCTTGTGGGGGGGGGGTTAAATTTAGTGAACGGGGAAACTCAAGCGGTGATTTCAAAAGGGAAGTGGAAGTCGGATTATGAATCTTTGTTTCATAAAAAAAAGACACTGGAAGGGATCAGTCACGGTCCTGGTTCAATTAAGGAGTCAATTAGGAGTCCAGCAGCAAGACCAGGTGATATGGTTGACCTTATTTCGTACACCTAATTAATCAAGATTCACTACTCTACGTGGATGGCAAACATTCTAGGTAATATAATACGAGGTTTGATCCAATGCTTGTCCAGAAGAGGCATTTTAGTCAAATCCGTTAGAAATCCTTGTATTCCATTTGATATGTTTTATTCCTCCATTCACACACACATGTCATGGACGCCATTAGTTGAGGCATTCTCCTGACTGATTTATTTTTCCATACAGTATTGAGTTTAGTCATGAGCGTTCAATATTTCATCGTCCTGAAAATTAGATCTACTGGAAGATTTGAGAAAGGTAGCCTTTCTAATGGCAATTTGTGCACTATACGAAAGCACGGATTCTATGAAACTGAATCACCTTAGGAAATGGTGAAATAAGCACGAGGACAGGGCGAATCAGTTGATGCAGTACAAATGACTGAAAAATGGTTGAGTCTGAGCTTTTATGTTGAAAGTTGTATGATGCTGGGAAGCTTGCTGATACTGTTAATAAAGTGCTTGCCTACCCTGAAAAAGCTGGATAGAACAGACAACTCCTACACAGATGGAACCTCCTGACAAAGTCGCCTGTTTTGGACTCATGATTAGTGGGTTAAAGCCAATTTATTTACAATAAGTAATATTTACATTAGAATTACAAGGCGTTGGATGTATCAGATGAATAACATTAGCACAGAAATTGCTCCCGTTCAAAGTGATCTTGAGTGCATTGTTTGACTGAACACCGATTTTAACTCTCCTCTCACATTCATTTCCCAGTTTTTCTGTAGTTCTGATTACTCCAGGCTACAAACTTTGGAGAAGCCTTTTATATTTACCAAGGTTAGCGACATATGAATGCAGGCTACTTCAGGCATTGAATTGTTTTTTTGTAAGAACCAGCTGCTTGCCCCCAATCCAAATTATATGGGACGTATTTATGCTACTCGATGGTTTTTAGTTTGTTTAGAAACAAACACAATGTGATCTACACGAATGAAAAGTCTCAAGCTCTTCCCTAAGGAGCTATAGCCTTGTTTCCATAAATAATATCATTCCACTAAACCAAACAAATTCAATCTATCATGCGAACTTCAAATGGTGTCATCTACAGAATCTGGGCCACTACTACTCCCAACAACTATATGAAGCGATGTACTTTAAAACTGACCCCGAAATCGAAAAGTGAATGGATTCGTCCAATGAACGTTTTAGCACTGGCGGGCACGTTCCTCTGAAAGCTCACGAGACAAATGCGCCAATCATTAAACGTATTATTTGTTAAGCCAATGGAAATGGGTTTTAGGAGCCGTTGGTTTAATTACGGTGCCAAATGGAAGCCGTCTAGCAATGACCAAACGAATGTTTTTAAATAGTTTTTGCCATTAGAAAGCTGCAATTAAGCACCGCGTGTTACCAAACAAAGGGGTCCGGTGTATTGGATTATACTTATTCATTATACGAGTAATGCTGTAACTTTAAAGTTATTAAAAAGTTGACACAATTACCTGATCCTTCATCGCCCAAAAGGTAACCAAGACCTCCGATGCGAACAAAACTCAAATTTTTTCGAATCAGCTTGCAAATTGATCCAGTTCCAGCAATCAGGACAATCGCATCTATATAAAAAAAAATTGTTACTTCACACATTAGTTTCCACCCTGATAGGTCTTATGTTCTACCAGGAGGGAACGAAATATGTATAACTATCAGTGGGTAAACGAACTTTCTTCAATAATCATTTTTTGAGCAAAACTCAGACAACCTTACAATTTTCCGTAAACTACTTGGACAGTTTAGCTGTGGCAGGCAGCACTCGTTTTATGAAGGTCTGCACAACTGTCAGCTTTGTTTGATGTCATTCGGATGTATGGAACATTTCTCGGTTTCGCAATTTGTAAACTAATGATTTGCTCCTTTGTTGTCCGACCGATAGATGTTGGCCTCTGTGTTGCATTTCAGCATGCGATGCAGTCTTAGATTTGCTCTACAATAAAGTCCACCGCGGTTCGGTGCGGATGTCAGTTGGTCATTCTGACTTTCCGTCACTGGTCGGCAAACATCTATTATTGTTTATCGGTTCCAGCCTGTTGACATGCTAATGTGAAGATGGTTGTTTGATCGGTGCCTGGATTGTGTTTCCCGCCAGGGTTTTTTGCACTTTGAAAGCTCCTAATGGCATTGTCGTCTGGATAGAAAAAGTCAGGTTGAAGTTTGTAACAGAACGAAGGCACAATTACTTCACTTGAAATGATACTTCTTACAAAATGGACGCATCGGCTTGAACCTTCTTCGTTATTTTTCGGGTTCATGAGGCAGACTTGGCCCCCAGCATTTCACATGTCTTATTTCATACCTGAACACCCATTGGGCCATGCATGTAAATAAAAACTTGATTTCAAATTAGTCGGTTTTTAAAGGGGTTTTCACCTACTCTTAACTGGGTTTTGTGTTTATTAACCGGTAGGGACAATCCAGGCATCCCCACCAAACTTATGTCGTATCAAGGAAAAGAGTTCACCGTCTTTCAGTCGTTCTAGACGAACCAAGACATATTTGGCCGAAGCACATTAGAAACGAGAGCTTTATCCTCTTAGCTGAAGCCCTCATTCCAACAGAATTTTCCGTTACCATCTCTTTCGTTTGCAGACGAATGTTTATCTGAACTAATTTAGTTATTTGTTTATAATCTTTAGGAATTTCTCATCTAAGACCCATTCCAGAGGAGCATTTTACTATGGAGTAAGCTAAACAAAATTATATAAAAGATTGACGCACAAGTGTGAAATGCCTGTGCGGTTGTAGGTTTGAGATATAATGAAAATACCTTCGTCGGTTGCCGTTACTAGGGTTCCAACAGCATCATTGCAGGCGTGGATTTTTTCAGCGATCCCTGGGCGGATCTTTCGAACTGCTTCAATAATTTGCAAGCAGTTTGACTCTGTGTTAACTCCGCTTAGTGCCAGGCCCTGAAATCATAAGATCAAGAAAACGATGTGAAAGCCAAAGAATGAACCAATTTAAGCAAAAAGTATTGACGTATTCATGATGAAGCTCATTTTAGAGGAAGATACAAAGGGGTGAGTTGAGTTTAATGTGTCTATTTTTGTTGAAGGTATGTGGTCAATCTGTTTGGAAGTATTCGGCTCACCCTTTGAGGATGAATTGCAAGGAACCTGCGAGGGTCGGTCACTAAAATGAATGTTTAGGTTTCCCTAAACATGTCAGTTAAGTTTCTTTATCAAGAGTAAACTAGGGGTCTTTAAATCGTTTGTCTAACACCCTTCAGAATGCATTTTATTCCATTTATAAGCCACTATTGGAAGGGATGTGTATTTTTCTGACTAAACTAATCCATATACACAGATATTTGAAGAACTGACTTTGACGTCACCATGTCTTGCTTAGACGGCCGCTTGAGATTTAGCGTGTCAGTAATTTGGAGGTTATAAAAGTTTGGTAAGTTATTTAGTGAATGAAGCTTAAAATAGTTTCTACAATAAAGCAAGCTTCCAAAAGTGGACATATTCATCCGGTTTGAAAAATAATTGCAGTGAATCTCCTCTCTCTCCAAGGGAGACGACTAAAAGAACAGCACGGTCCGCTTGCTCTAGCGCTCACTTCCAATGAAAAGTGAAGTAGCTCGAATAACATAATACACTCATTTGCCAACGAATTTGGTTTTTCTAGAAGCTCATCTGGAACCTAACTCATTCGCTTGTTTACGATGTTTATAAGTAACTGACTGTACTGCATCATGTTTCCTAATGTTTCGGTTGGTTTCGAGACATCGCGAAACCGGTCATCGGCTGTCAAAGAATTTTTAGCAACCTTATACTTAGTGTACTACGTCTGTACAAGTAGCTCGACTGTTCTTAGGGCGAGATGGAGGACACAATTAGTTGTATTAGCTAACATCTTTATTGTCGTGTGCGTCAACCAATCTCGTTGGAGCAGTGGATGGGAAGATTCTTTTCCATGCAGCGACTAACACGCGCTATTCGTGTTCGATTAGCATCGTTAAAACGAGGTGTTGCAAGACAGCATGGTCAGCGTGAGTGGGACGGTAGTTATCCAAGTCCGTCCACATCCACATGCGCCGAAGCTATTGAAGAAATCAGTATCTGATCCTCCGGACCTCATGCAATTTTTAACGCCAGCCTAATGAACCATAAAGATAAAGTCGATATTTGTTCATAACAGGATGGTGAAAATCCAAGGGGCGAACAATTGCTTCTGTAGCAGCTAGCTGTGCAATTAGTAGGATCCAGATGAGTAACCTTATTAACATCAATCAACGTGTAACTTAGCAACGGATGTTTGAGCGTACCAGCACTATGAAAAATTAAAGCTATAGGAAGAGTGAATCGAGGTATATCAGCGTCAAAAACACCCGGAGAAGTATCGCGAGACAAGGTAGTACAACATTATTTACTTCGGAAGCAAGCGATCTTTCGAGCAAGTCGAGGATGGATGCACAAGGTTCAGAACTTTTATCGGCCAAATTTTCGAGCTCCTAATGGAAAAAGGCTGAGGTTCTGAACAACGCTCCAGCTGACTAGCTGGCATATTGGAATACTCGCACTTTAGCTACACAACAAAAGATATCTTCTTAAGCATTTTCTGCCGTTTCTATTCATTGTCACCACCGTATGTTTTATTATATCCGTTTCCAATCACATGGCGCAATTATGGGGCTGATCATAGGACGTCTCGACATTTAAAATATATGAAATAGCGATAGACAATGGAAAAATAATCAGGTAGGTTCCGTGTTCTTAAGTATTTATGATTCATTTGCAAACAGTGCGTGCACTAAAATCTTACCAGCGCCTTAAATGGAGTTTCTTTTGGTAGCCCAGCTGCTTTCAAGGCATCATCAGCAAGCATCACAACTCTACGGGCAGCCTCTTCCATTCCAAGGTGCTAAAAAGTAAGAAGGGTCCGTCATTTTGTCGGGTGGAGTGAGAGCATAGTATAAGAAGCAAACAGTTTGGAGTATGTACATTCCTTTTTATTTTGATGTCTTGATGATTCAGTCATTGCTTTCTTGTTTTAATGATGTATGAGAGTCTTCTCCAGCTCTTACCATTTTCTCTGGTTGTACCACAACTTTGTTCAAATTTGCTGACTAATTGCACGTTCTTCATTGTCGTATTGCTTATCTGGATTTTGTAGTGAAAAAAACGGTGTAGTTTCGCTCAGAAGCCAAACTGCAGTTGGTTACATGTGCCAGGGTGTTGACTACTCCAAAAAATTGCGCCTACTTCTAGTACACAGCGGAAGTCCTGCTCCGATATTCTCTTCACTGAATAATTAGACATATTTCTAAGTTAACTGACCGAGGAGTTAGTTATCACCGACCAACTGAGAATACACTTTCTTCTTCGTGTATATGGCTGTCTATGGAAGGTGTGTACAATCATTAAGTATGGTGGTAGTGAGTTTCCGCATCTTTTAAGGTCAAACAAGTTCATGAACCGGTCGGTACCTCCTGCGACTGACCCCGTTCATCTGTGAAATGATCGTAGTGAACAAATACATACGCTGTTACGGAATTTTTTTCCTTAAAAGAAATAACCTCAGACATCCGCAAACCGCAGTGGCCGTACCGTGATCCACAACGTCAGCATAATGCATGTGGAAGGGCGCGGTTAGCTTACCAGTCCAGTGGAACGAAGGTGATTACCTACGTTATAAATACCAGCGAAATTAATTAAATTCCTTAGTGAAGAAATGGTGGTTTCAATTCGGGTATGATATCGCGTGCAGGGAGAGGACCCAGGAAATTTACAGCTGCAATAATAGACATTCGTCGCTTGAAAACCTGCCAACACATTGTTTGGAACGGCAAGGTTTCAAAACGACGTATCCAAAGCCGAAGCACCGTTGCCCTCCTTGACTCCTGACTACCTCTTCTTGGCGGCTGATACTGCGCAAAGATTCATTTTGGCCTTTATATGGCCGTTTGTGAAACACAGAGCAACAGCTTTCTGTCATGTGTTTAAACAGGAAATCTACAGCTGGAGCATATACAAATACCAGCAAGGGGGACGGACGCAACCCTATCTGTATCGGCACAAGTTCATGCTTGGATAAGTAAACCTGAGTAACAGAGAGTGCGTTTGAACCTGATTTTTATCTTCAAGGCTGTCTTTCTTAAGGTACTTCTTAGCTGGAGGTGTCTTTTGTCCGAAAACGGATCAAATACAGAAATGCAACAAAATCGACGTTTTGCATGTCTGTGCAGTCAGTGTACCTATGGGATTATCATATAGAGCGGTCACGTCACCCTCGATCACTGGCTCATACAGGCAATAGATAATCATCTTTTGTACATCTCCAGCCACAGGATGTGTGAGCTAATAAACGGGGTTCCGAATCGTCGAGTTCCAAGACCAATTCGCCATAACGGATAACTCTAAAGAGGATAGAGCCAACCAAGTACGAATCATCTTCCGCCCTCATCAAACTGAACCCGAAATTACGAATCCGTCTAAAAAACCTGCGTGTGCTTTCTTTGGCACCACATAATACTATGGTTACATCTTGGTTATGTGGTGTTCAATGGTGCTCTGACATAACATTATGAATAATTGTTTATGCGTGGATTCGTAGTTAGTCTCCGAAATATTCAAAATTTTAACGGGAATACATGCATCTATTTACCCAATAGTTTGTATGGGGTCCTTCTGACTGCCCCAGTTGCTTTCCTTCAGCAGACAAGATGACCATTCGTGAGCCTGTTGTTCCGCTGAAAAACAAAAAAATTCGGATTTGGTAAGAAGCAAAGACTATCGGAAGTACCAAAGAAATAAATTTAGTTGGTATTGCCAGGAGGTCATATATTTTTCAACCAAGATCTCATCATGGAAATGAAACCAGTCTGAACTGAAAAACCAATAAGAGCTTTAGAACTGCTTCATCTTTACCGGGGATCAGTTGTAATGAGTGTTCCACGAGACGAACCCATGCACTGACCAGTAGGCTCGTTGTCGATAGCTGAAGACTTAATCGGTCGGCCACGAGCGGTTGATCGGCAGTTTGATTAACTCATAATTGAACAGGATATAGCATCAAATAACTTTTAATCATGAATTTACCATCACTTGGTCACGAGTTGACTGGCTCCTCAAGCGGTCAGTTCTCCGATGGCGGGCTTACTCATTGTGCGAATTATTACGCTTTTGGAGCTTCTTGTAAATTGTTGGCACTGTGAGCAGTTTTTGGACTTTGAGTAGCGAATGATTCATATTCAAGAGCTCGTCCTACTTTGGCAGGTTTAGTTTGCGCCTAACCGTTTAAAATTCCTTGATAATAATGTATGACCTGTGATATTTGAGTTAAATGGTTACAATCTATTCGGAATTGTGGGGTAACCGGTTCAAAGCAATAAATATCAAAAGTAGCGTGTTAAGCTCACAACGCGTACAATATGTCATCGACCTTTAAACTCTGAAATGTTTTGGTAGGTTGGTGGAACCGTGCTCAGATCATGTGGTCACGTAACTGTGTTCAAGATCAATCAAGTAAAATACTTTGGTTGAACCTACCCTTCAATTCCAGCGTAATAGGCCATCGGTTGCTGCCGAAAGAAATATGAAGCTGAAACAAAAATTAACAGTGAGCCTCATCAAGGTGCGACATCGGTTTTCAGGTATTTCCTGCGCAGTTGAAAATACATGAGTCGTGCTGAATTGATGTCACGGAAAAGCACTCAACTTTGTTGAATTTAGTGTAACTCATGGGTTATTTTGTTCGTTTCCGCGCAACAAAAAATAGGACTATGCTCAGGGGGTCGTAGTGCAATTCACGAAGAGTTGACAAACATCACTGTTTTTGCGAGATTTTTCTTATGGTCATTACAGATATGGTTTTATATGGCTTCAATCTATATTAAAGAATATGTAGAGGGGTAACTTTGAAAAATTTTTAGAGAAAGTCAAGTTTGTGTATGACCACAGATATGCCGTGTTTGTTTACGGAATAAAAGAACCAGTTTTTGTGTATTAAAATCATACGGCACTCATTTGTAGTTGGCTTGAAACACCTCCAAGTGGAAGACTATGTGAAAATGGCTGAAGTCCACCCCCAACACCGTCAAACCCTCCAGAGAATATAGCCTTGAAGGCTTCATTAAACATGCGTGATATAATTACTGATTTCAAGCCTTTCTGGTGTCAGTTAGGCAGCTAAGGAAGAGAACACAAGGTCTTGTCATCCAACCACAACTAGAAAACCATAATTTGTCTGCCAATGTGTTTAAATCTTAGCGAAATACACTCATTTGCAACATTGTTTGACAGCTTATGTTCACACTGTGGCGGTGTTTTAGAGCATCAGATGGAAAATAAAAACTGAGACGTTATTTCACCTTGTTTTAGGGACAAGTACACTTTGATTAGACAGTTTTGTGCAATTACTTGGGTCTCACCATCAAATTATATGGCAAGCTAACATGGTGTGTAAATTTGATCCGGGAAACAAGAATTCTGCAAGAAACACCTTAATAATTGTAATTTCAGTTATCCTCCTAAGAGACACCGAGCCGCTCAATATGCTCATTGGTGACGGAACCCAGTGTTTTCTGACTCAATATCATTGCAGTTCTCCTAAGTTGGTCTCTCACAAACTAAAAATTCTTGGTCAATGCTTGTGTTCAAGAAACGTGGTCTGATAGCGGCATACATGTTTTTATCCAAAAATAATGTGAATTTATGGATTATTTTGTTGCGCATTCCTCAAGTTACACAGAAAACGGAATCCAGTGTACAAAATTCACATAGCTTACAAAGATTATATTGCAAGCTACCATGGTGTGTAAATTTGATCAGCGACCACTATCTTAGACTTCTGCTATCAGGCTAACATGTCAGTAGGTGACTACTGAACATTTTATGAACGACTTAAGCGATGTTCGATTAACATAAATTCAAGATTGCTGTGTATTTAAACTCAGGATTTGAGATCTAAAAACACACAACAAGCTTTAAGTAGCTCGCTGTGAGATAAACACTTTAGAAGCTATTCGATTCCTTGTTTGTGTATGTTCATCAAAGTTATCCTGGATAAATACATACGCACCTAGTGTGCATTCACATGGATCCGGGAAATAAGAATTCCGCAAGGAACACCTTAATAATTGTAATTTCAGTTATCCTCCTAAGAGACACCGAGCCGCTCAATATGCTCATTGGTGACGGAACCCAGTGTTTTCTGACTCAATATCATTGCAGTTCTCCTAAGTTGGTCTCTCACAAACTAAAAATTCTTGGTCAATGCTTGTGTTCAAGAAACGTGGTCTGATAGCGGCATACATGTTTTTATCCAAAAATAATGTGAATTTATGGATTATTTTGTTGCGCATTCCTCAAGTTACACAGAAAACGGAATCCAGTGTACAAAATTCACATAGCTTACAAAGAATTGAAGCTTTAAAGAATAATTTCAAGCAAATATAGCGGATGTTCTCGAGATTTCCTATACAAAATCTTTCTTTATAAATTAGTTTTTAGACTGTTAATGAATAGAGTACATTGTTTCAACTGTAGCGCAGGACAACGGCTGCGATTTTGCTTCGTTCGACTCTCCTGTCTGCTCAAGTCAAACTCTGCTGTTGAAAGCACGGACAGTCTGATGTGGAATGCTTAGTAGGCAGAAATTTAACTTGCATTTGACAAAAAAATATCAGGAGGCTTATAGGTTACACGCTTTAAACAGAGTGATTAGGAAAATTCAAACTTGCATGGCACTTCATATATCACCTTAACATTAGAAAAGCCAAGATGTTTTATACCAAAAACTTTAAACAGTACGTTCGTAGTTCCATAAGCACCTCTAAACAGAAGCCGACTTTATCTACCCGACTCTAAATTCTCGAGGTCTCTTGGACAGAGCATCGCTTCAAGTAACCGAAAAGCAAACCTTTTGAGATTTTAATAAAATGTATTTGTTACGAAATAACTAATATGAATTCCAGAGAGTTGCTTCTGAGATTAGCTCATAACCTCAATATATTGCAAGCAAATCAAAACAAAGCAAAATGCTGGCCTTGTCTGCTGGATTTAATTTCTTTCAATCAATTATCCTTGTGATATTGAGTAGATTTGTGGGAAATCGCTGAAATAAAACCAATAGTGTAGTAGAAAACGGATTACGTTCTGTGTAAGTATTGAATTTGAATTACGCTTGCACGTAGTCCTTCCTGTTTCATCAAAAACCACAGAATTTAAGATCGTCTATAGATCTCAAAATAATCCACCATTAAACTTGCAATATGGTGCGCTTTTTTATTGAGCTACTTCGTTAAATCGAACTGCTGTCTTCTTGCAAGAAATCTCAGTACAAATTTAGATTTTGGAATCAGGAACGACTACAACCCACTGTGGTTGTATTTTATTAAATTTTCATGCTCATGAAAGAGCAGTTGGGAAAGGCAGACAAAAATATCAAAAAAACACGTTGTTTGAAATCCCAAGAATCATTTTCATCCGTTGAAAAAACGCTTTGAACGAGCACTCCCTCATACGCTAAAACTGGAACCAAAGAGAATGTCTTATTTTTCCGGCGCTGTGGTGTGCATAGGGAAAGATACCAACATGAGAAAGTCTAACCGAAATCTAAATTTTTACTGCCTGATTTTACCACGAAGCAGAACTTCTCGAAACTCTTTCAAATGAGACGCTGGAATGTCATCTAGCCTTATTAAAAACTTGGTCATCTATGTGAACCTATAGAAGATAATTTTTATGAAATCTGATGAGGACTCAATCAACAAAATACACAAAATTCAAAAAAGCCTTGAACAAGAATAACTGTACCCGCAACGCAAAAGTTAATTAGGGCTCTTAAGCTTCATTGGATTTTTGAAAACCTCAGCGATAAGGATATGCTGGTTTTTACATATTTTTCCTGGACGTATGTGTTTATTTTGAAATTGACCTGATTCTGCCAATTTCTGTGGGACTTGGGTATTCACTCTTTTTATTCCTTACTTCTGTCCACACTAAGTCATTGATGTAGTTTGATTGTTTTACTTCAATCCATCGGTCATCAAACTGAGGATGGTTAAACCAAATTAGCTGCTAAACTCCCTGGTTTCCATTCCTTAAGTGCCATTTATCCTTGAAGATTTTGTCCAACGATTTTGCTGCTTACACGTCTATGAAGTCGAATTAGCTTGTACAGCGTCCATTTTTGTGCCAATATTCTGAAGAGAACTGGCTTTGTTCGTCCTTTTATTTAATTTCGACATCACTGACATTCTTCCTCACGACTTTGATTTTTTATACCAAGGGATCATAAATTCATAAGTTGTATTGCTTATCTAAAGTATGAAGCAACATAACTTCAAATGATAACCAACTACTCAAAACAACGGTCAACTTAGCCAATAATCAACCGTTCGTTGGTTACTCAGAATGCAGAAATATTTTACCCTACTATCGACTTAGGTATGACTTTTGTTTTGGAAGGTGCACTGCTTATATGTGAAGGGAAAATACAAAAACCTCACGCAACCACTTAACCGTGCGATACATGCCACTTGATTTTTTTATCAATAATTTCAGTAAGATTACTAAAGGATCCGTAGCAACTTTGGCCTATAAAACCTTCTAGAAGATCACCAATGCACTCAATCCAATCATCAGTTTTGAGTTCTTTGCGTTGACTCAAGTGGTACAGAAACTTTGTTATCTTAGTTGTAAACCTGTTTCACTATCTCAAAACGGTCCGGGAATTTCGCATGTTCTGGAATCGTGATGAAATTAAAAGTAATTCTAGGCTACTAGTCACTCTTCTGATAGCTATCATCCACAAATGGACCAGTTTCACCTCTTGCCGAGGGCAATTACTTCGTTTTATTGAATGGATCTAAATGTAAGTAAGACCTAGTACCCCTTCCTCATTCACAAGTAACCACAATTCGTTAACTTCCTTTGTTTACTAAGTTCTGGCTTATTTGAAATTCTGTTGCATCGTTCGTTGTTCAGTTGTGTTTTAGTTGCATCTTATGCTCCAGGTACCGTATCTGGTAGGAAGATTTTAGCTCTCTTCACTTGCGTGTAGCCTCTAGTTTCCCATGGTGCCTGTTTTTTGGAACAGTGTTTGGCCAACTTTTGGCTGGAGATGTTGTCACAAATACGGTCAATAAATTTGCTCTCTCCCGCAATCTGTATTGGAGGGAGGTCTGTTCCCCGTACTTTTGGAATCAACACCCTTGCTTTTTCTAGGCATGATGCTAGCTTCAAATTTCTCAAAGTAGTTATGTGACCACTGAATATCAGCGATTTCTGATTCTTAGACAGGGAAGATCATCGCTAGCTTCATTGAATCACAAAGCAAGGAAGATTCCCCACTGTCTCTGGAGTTAGAATGTTGTTTCCCTGAAATTTACTGGGTCACCAGGTAGAAGGAGACCTCTGATTTTTTAGACTGTGACCATCCAGCAGAGTAGTCATCTTTATTTTTGCTTAAACAACATCTATTTTTTGCTTCGGGTAGACACTTGAAAATATCCTGTCTGGTCTATGTTAATATAAACCCATCCGTAGAAGGTACAAATTAACTTGCGGATTCTGGTGTGACTGTTCGATAGGTCACTATCTTACACAAACAACACTGAGTCAAGTAGCCGTTTACCTATCTACTGCTCGGTGATGCCACGGAGCTTCTCTCCGTTTTACTGGTTCATTTACAACGCAAGCAGTAGCTGGTAGGAAATGCCACAAATAAAGCCAAAAGCTTAGCAGTGTATCCGTCATCCCAACGACATGCGTTAGTAGGAAGGCCAATAAAACATTTAATTCA